GATAGAAACATCAATGAAGAGAGAGTCATTGTTAGGCTGCTTCCCGCACCGCCCCCCCCCCCAATGGGATCAAGCCCGGGCATGTGCCTTGACCAGGAATCGAACCAAGATCTCCTGGATCCTAGGTCGATGCTCAACCACTGAGCCACACCCAGCCAGGCACACCTGTTTTAGACTTTGCACAGTTGACTATATTCATTTGTTTCTAGGTCCTTCTCAGACTAAATCACGAGTGTCTGAGGTCAGGAACCTCTTACTGTAGCTAACTGTTGCTTATATGCCTAGCACCTAGCATGGTGCTGGTACAAGGGCTTCTATGGGTGCATGCATGAGACCAGCACACCTACTTTTGGGGTGTAGGATGGAACAAAGATTGCTAATGTGTAGGTGAGCATTAAAGCTTGTCCCTGGGTTGCAGAAGCCCCCATCCTTGAGTACAGCCTGTGGGAGTCAAGTCCAGTGTGGCCGGGGCCTCGTACACACCATGCAGGGAGGTGCTGGGGTGAGCTCACCATGCTGCTTCTCCAGCCCAGCAGGGGGCCCCAGGGCTTTTTGTGTGGCGGGAGGGGGGAGTGTCTGCCTATTCTGACCCTATATCCTTATGTATTTGTTTATTGTCCTTATATCCTTATTAGAATTTTGTATTTAGAAAAAATGCTAAGTGTAAAAGATGTTTGTTTGGTTGTTGGCTTTAATTCTTATCTTACCCCCCAGAGGTAACCAAACACAAACCACATGCAGTTCTGTGACTCTTTTTCATACAATATATTGTGAACAATGTATACTTTTTAAAAAATTTGTCTTTATTGTTGAAAGTATTACAGATATCCCCCTTTTTCCCCCCATTGACCCCGCTCCCACCCTCTCCCCAGGCCTTTGCCACACTATTGTCTGTGTCCGTGAGCTATGCGTATATGCATATAAATTCTTTGGTTAATCTCTTCCGCTCCCCCCCCCATGCTCCCCCTCCTCCCATTCGTCAGTCTGTTGCAACATATACACTTTTCTTGTTCCAAATAGCAGCTGTACAGCATTGCACTGTAGGTCTGGCCCATGATTTATTTAACCTGTAGCTTAGTTTTCAAAAAAAAATTTAAGGGGGGTGTGTGTGTGATTATATTAATGTGTCTACTTTGTATGTGCTTGATTTTTTTATAATAAAAGTATTTTAAAGTTACTATATGTAAATAGTTTATATATGTAAATAGTTAAAACTCAAAAGTAGTAAAAGGCTTCTAACAGAACAACCTCTAGCTTCTCCCACCTCCATCCCACCCTTTAGAAGCAACTAACAACATTTCTCAGCTCTTTCTTGGGGGATTTACCTCTATATTTCTAACTTTTTCTTGATTTTATCTATTGACTTGCTTTTTTGATAGATGATAATTTGTTAACATTTATACACCCTCTTTCTTCCCATTCTCTCAATATAACTATATCACAAATTCTTAAAAATACATACTTGACGAGCCACATAGTGGTGAGTCCCATGGAGGGATGGAAGAAAAAAGGCTTCACAAGCCAAAGAGCTTCATAGGAAACATTTGCACCACATTGATCTGTAGCTACTATTCCTTGCTGGCCCCAACGGAGTCAGAGGTGGCTTTGTGGTTCCCTCCCCCTGTGCCCCTCCTAGGCTTGGTGCCTTGTCAGCTGACTCTCTGAACACCACTGTTGACCCTCCACAGCTGAGATACCCCCGTGGTGGATGTCTTGGGTGCCACCTCTGCAATCACTTAGTTTATGGATTTTATTAGCACAAATGAGGATTTTTAATTAAGTGCTCTAGCTATAAGACAAAGGGCTCGGAGGCTGTTTCTTTTTCTCTTTTTAAATGTAATTAATGATTTAGAAATTGCCAGGGATACTTCTGGGCATATACCCCTAAGAATTGAAAGCAGGGTCTCAAAGAAACATTTGCACACCTATGTTCATAGCAGCATCATTCATAGTAGCAGAAAGGTGGACGCAACCCAAATGTCTGGATAAACAAAATGTGGTATACCCATACAATGGAATGCTACAACAACATGGATGGATCTTGAACACATTATACTAAGTGAAATAAGCCAGTCCCAAAGGGACAAATAATGTATAATTCCACTTACGTAAGGGACTTAGAGTAGTCCAAGCCATAGAGACAGAAAGCGGAATGGTGGTTGCCAGTGGTTAGGGGGAGGGGAAGTGGGGAGTTGTTTAATGAGTACAGAGTTTCAGTTTTGCAAGACAAAAAGAGTGTGTGAATGCACTTAACACTACTGAACTGTACACTTAAAGATGGTTAAGATGGTAAATTTTGTTACTTATATTTTACCACAATTTTTTAAAAAAAACCACTGGGGGCTGATGACCTATAAAGGACCTTCCCAGCAGCTGCTGACCTCCAAGTTCTTTTTTGAGACTATTGAATGTCCAGCTCTTAGGTTCCACTCTGATGGCGTCAGTTCCCTGCTCTGGTGAGCAAACCAACAAAAAAGCAAAGGTGGGGGGAGGCAAGGAGGTGAGAAGGTAAGGTGCTAAGCCTGGAGGATTAAGAAACAGAGAAAAGTGGTCCCATCTCTGAAGCCAGGACATCTCAAGGACAGGCGACCGTTCTTCATTCGTAACCTACTTGGTTCATAGGCACACAGCCCTTCGTGTTACAGATGAGGAAACTGGGACCCAAGTTGGGGAGACACAGGCACAGAGGGTAACGAGCACAGGGTTGCATTGCTGGCTGGTAGCAGAGCCTTAAGGTGCAGCCCCTGTTCTGTGTTTTCTTTATACCCCTCCCTCCAAGAAATGTGAGCTGTGAACTTAAACTACCTGGTGATGATGAGCAGCGCTGTCAACTTCAGTCGCCTCTCAGAGGAGCGAAGCAAGACAAGGTGACAGCCTAGAGCCAGAGTCAGGCTGGGACAGTGTGTGCAAGTAGGCGGAGCTCCCATTCCACTGCCCTTCCACATCCCAGGCTCTCTTCAGCATGTGGAGCCCAACCTCACGGACTCATGCTCCGAGCTCAGACAGGCCTGTGCTTTAACCTCAGGAAGTAAGTCCCAGCCGTCGGAATGTCACTCCTCAGCCCTTCCATGAGGGAGATAGTTCAGGGTTACTAATAAAGAAGGGCATGCCTGAAGCCCTGAAATCACGGTTTTCTAAATTCTAGACATTCATCTACCAGTTGCAGTTTTCATCATACTTTGTGTTCTACTTGTACATTTATTTAATTTTTTTATTTTTTTATTATTATTATTTTAAATATGTTTTTATTGATTTCAGAGAGAGGAAGGGAGAGGGAGAGAGAGAGGTAGAAACATCAATGATGAGACAGAGTCATTGATCGGCTGCCTCCCGTACACCCCCGGCTGGGGATCAAGCCCACAACCCAGACATGTACCCTAACCAGGAATCGAACCGTGATCTGCTGGATCCTAGATTGAAGCTCAACCGCTGAGCCATGCCTGGCCAGGCTGTATTTAATAGTTTTATATCACCTTACCTTTTTCATTTCATTTTATTATATTTTATTACATACATTATATAACATATACTGTTATACAGGGTGAGGCAAAAATTAGGTTTACAGTTGTTAGTTCGCAAAACGGTTTATTCTTGCATTATTATTATTATTTTCCATATAAACAATGTAAATCTACTTTTGCCCCACCCTGTATTAAATTATATCCTATTATGTATTAAAAGGAAACTTGTCACCACAACTATATATGGAAAACCAGATTCACTTGCCATAAATAGAAGGTAACTATAAAAAGAAATATGACAAGAAGACAGTTTTAAATTCTAGCTAGATTCCCCTGCCTGCTGCAGGCTTTGAACCTGAGGCCTGCTCTTTGTTGAAAGGGAGCAATGAGCAACTGTTAGTGAGGTATTATATTACTGGTGCTTAGAGATGATCAGGATAAACAGGGACCGAATGTAAATAACCTCTCACTAGTCACTGTTACTTGATGAATCAGCTGGGTAGCCCACAAGGACCCTGAGTCCTGTACTTTAGAAAACACCCCTTTTTGAAGTACCACAGGATGGGTCCAGGTTGTTGTTTAGGACAGTGAATAATTCCATAAGACATGGTCTAGGGTGACAGTTGGGAAAGGAAAACAAAAAGAAAATGAATGGAACTCAGACCATGTACAAACCCTGAAGTGCAGTGACACCTCAGAGCAATGGGTAAACCGGTGCCAGGGGCAGAGCAGGGTGGCATGGAGAGGTGGGCTTAGCAAGAGATCCTTTTGTGGGAAGGAGGAGCCTCTGAGCCACTCCTCTCCACAAAGCCCAGGCAGGGAAGTTCTCATTTTGGGAAATCACTTAATTTTCTGTCTGTTCATTTGTAAAATGGAGTTAAAGATTCTGGATATCCCACAAGGGTACTGTAAGGGCAGAATTGAAAAGTGAGTGAAAAATGCACCTTTTCCACTGTAGGATGTGATTGTCACAGTAATAACACTGAGCACCAATTAGGTAAGTGAGTTGGTGGGCTTTAAGGAGAGAGTGCAGGGTGTGCCAAGCTCTGAGGGGAGAAAGGACACAGTCTGGTGACCAGTGGGCCCCTTCTTCCCTCAGAGTGGCCTTCGTCATAGGAGTCAGGGCAGTTTGGTGGCAGCAGAGTCCTAAGCTGTAACCAGGCACCTGGAATAAGTCTCATTTCTCCTTTTATAGGTCCCCCCTTTTTTTTTATTTTAAGAATTTTTTAAAATTGATTTTTAGAGAGAGAGAGAGAGAGTGAGAAACATTGATGTGAGAAAGGGATGTGGATTGGCTGCCTCCTGCACGCCCCCTACCAGGGATTGAGCCCACAACCCGGGCATGGGCCCTGACTGGGAATCGCACTGGCAAACCAGTGCATGGGACTACACCTAACCAACCGAGCCACGTGGGCCAGAGCTATAGGTCCAGCTTTTACAGGAAAACCTGCCTCTGCTGCAGCCATGCCTCAGAGACATGGAAAAATGAGCTGGTAGGGGGTTCAAGGTGGCTCTACCAGTGTCCCTATACCCTTCTAGGTACCAGGATCATCTATGACCGGAAGTTCCTGATAGAGTGTCGGAATTCACCTGTGACCAAAACACCCCCACGGGACCTGCCTGCCATTCCGGGGGTCACTAGCCCTATAAGCGATGAGCCCCCCACAGAAGCCAGCCAGAACCATCTGCAAAACAGCCCTGAAGATAAGCCAGCAGGCGGTGAGCTTGGGCGGGCTGTTCCTTGGGATGGGAATGTGTGCAGCCTGAGAGTCCTATCCACTAGAGGGAGTTCCAGGGAGGGACTGATGGTGACAGCCCCACCTGCGGAGCAGCTCAGAGTCCAGAGGGTGGGGGTAAGGACTGGGGGGATGGTGGGGAGAACTTTCATCGGTGCCAACTTTCCCCATGATAGGGACCCAAGAACCCCAGGAAAGAGGATTTGGCCTCATTAGGTAATCTAATCAGTGTGCCCCTTTATATAATTGTCCCTAAAGCAGTACCTTGTATCTGCGACACTTGAAATACACCACGATGTTCATGTGCAGGAAATGACTTTGGTGTACTTGTCCTCCAGGAAATTGCATGTCTGCAGGCTCAGAAAGACATCCAAGATGCCTCTTGTCAGGGTGTCTGTCCACTAGTGGATTCTTGATGAAAACGGGTAGAAACAATGCAACCAGTTGCTTCTGCATGTTTGCCATGCGGTCCCTAAGTCCTTCCAGTACCCCGTCCCTCCCCACAAGTAACCATAGCAGCCCCCCTGGCAGAAGTGTGTGTGAATGTGGTCTTTGCGGCACCCTGACTGGCTGTCAGAGCGTCTGAGCTCTCCCGCTGCGGGAGAATGCCGTGTAAGCACTTGCGGACAAACTGAGTCAGCCCGGGACGCGCTGACCCTTCACCCGGGAGGCAGTACACCAGGCCAGGCAGGAAGCAGCTGAGACCTCGGCTGGCCGGCTCCGCTGACCGCAGCAGAATCCGTCTCCCCGGAGCCTGCAGGACATGATTCATAATTACCTTGGGAACCCCACAGCCCAAGACAGGAGACAGTGGCCTTGCCTTTCAGACTTGGAGAGCAGCGGAAGGGCGGGAAGTGACACAGAGAGCAATAAGGACCCCCCAGGCAGTGGGGTTCCCTGCCTTGTGTGAAAGGATGGAAAGGATGGACAGATTCACGTGGTTGGTGGCACTGTGCCTTCCACCCCTACTTTTTGCTTCAAATCAAAGACTGGAAGTTGAGGATGGAGGAGCAACTCCTGAAATTGTTAAGTCACTGCTATCTAAGGACTGTCCCTTGCCCCCAGTTGCATACCTTCTTCCCTCTCAGTTTCTAGAGCTGCTCTGGCCCATAACAAATGCAGGGTTGGCCCAGTGGTACCCCAGGTGGCACGCCTTACCCACACAATGGCCTAGTAGTTTTACACAGTTGTTGTGATGGGGTGTGATGGTAAGGGAGGGACATCATTTTTTATTTTGCTGAACTGGATGTTAGAAGCCGAGGCTCCTGGCCTTAGACCCACGTATTTGTGTGGATATAACCAGAAGAGGCCAGTTGTTTCCCTGTGGGGCCAGAGCAGGCATCTTGCTGTGTAGATCCTTGGGCCTTGCCCAGGAGATGCTGAATGAGGCAGTTCCATTAAAAAGGAAAACAACCTACAGCAGCATAAATGACTTGGAAATTTTAGTGGTAAGTGGGCGAGGGCAGTGAGTGGCTGAATTACCACAGGGTCAGGCTATTTGATGGGCAATCGGATGTATGCCTAGTTAGGTTATAGTACCGTTTTCTTAATCAGAAGTTGGGACACCAGCTCAAAAAAGCTTTATGTTTAAGGAGTATTTTTCTATGAAATTGTGTTTATGTCAATTCACAAGTAACCATTTATTCTTATAAAAAATAATAAAAATTAAATAAAATTCAGGACTGTCACCTCTCCTGGTCTCTGCTCTTCCTTTGGGATTAGGGAAGAGAGCACAGCTGGACAGGACACCTTTAGGCCTGTATTTCCAGGAATACCTAATATAGTCCCGCCCTCCCTCCATTCTCCTTGGCAACAGAAATCTGGCCTCTGCTCTTCTTGTAGGAACACCAGAATGAAAAGATAACACCTCTCCCTGGCCTCTAAAATGTCAGTTCTACCAATCATCATTGCTCACCTGCCCTCTCTCCTTTCTCTCGCCAGGTGAGGAGTCACAGTTCGAGATGGACATCTAAAGGACCAGCCATCAGATTGAGCAATGCCTCTGGGCCCCTCTGGCCTTTCTCCGGAGAAGAGTCACACCCGCCAGTTATCATCCTGGGCAGGCATTGGGTATGGGGTTGACCACCCCAGTCCTCTGCTCCCTCAGTCAGGGCACCTGTTCCCCCTTCCTCTTGGTGAACACCAGCAGATACCTCTATGTGCCTCCATTCATGCAGGAGCTGGCACTCCAAGGAGAGTGACTCTCAAGAGCACACACCCTGTAGCCTGGGGCCAGGAAGTGTACTTGGAGGAGCCCTTTTGAATGACCATCCTGCTCTCTTCCTCTGAGGGTACACCCACCTCTCCTTAGGTTGGTGTGTTTGGGGAAGTTCCCCTCCCCCTACTTCCCCCAGAGAGGAAATAAAAGCCACCTTTGCCCTAGGGCCAAAAGTTGGCCCCGGTCTGAGCTCTTTTCTACTCCACGTGGATAGCTAACACCAACTACTATCTGCACAGTACATATAAAGCACTTTCCTGTGCATTATCTCATTTGATTCTCATGCTGATCTGTGAAATAAGTAGAGCAAGTGTCATCCTCATTTTACAGCTCAGAAGTTAAAAATTGCGCACTAGTAAATGAGAGATAGGACTGGGTTTGAGCTGTGCTATTCTCCATCTCTTATTTTTCTGTGCTGGGTGATTTTTCTGTGGGGGGTGCTGCCTCTTTTCTGGGCTTTGTAAGAGATTATATAGGATTAATTACCAGCGAGTAGTCCATGCAAATGGAGGCTTCATGGAGGTTACACTACAGTTGGATCCTGAGAATGAGTGGGCTTGGGGGAGCCAGGGACCCAATGTTGCTGGGGTCAGGTGGTCTTGTGGAATCTGGGTGTGCAAGGACAGGACATCAAGTTGCCTGCCTTGGCCAGAGCAGGCAATTTATGTGGTTGGAAATGGCTTTTATAAACGGCCCAAAAAAGACTAGATCTCTAAGGGCCTCAGATGCCAAGCAAGCATGGAGGAGCCCTTCTGAATGATCATCTGGCTCTGTAAGCACTTTCCTATACATTATCTCATTCGATTGTCGTGCCCATCCTATGACATAAGTAGAGCAGGTGTCATCCTCATTTTACAGCTCAGAAGACCAACTCAAAAGTTAAAATTACACTAGTAAATGAGGGATGGGACTGGGTTCGAACTGGGTCTTTGCTGAGAAACAGGTGTTTCTCATCATAGGCTGTGCTGGGGGATGGATGGCCTTTGACCAGGAGGCAGTGGTTGATGTGGACTTGACAAGCTCTGTGCTCATAGCACTTATCCATCTGCTGTTTGGGGAGCAGCAGGCCTTAGTGGGCAAGTCCCTGGACTGCCCTTTTCTATAGCTGAGTTGGAGTCCCCTTCCCTGTGAAGACAGCTGGAATGTGCCTGGAGATGGTTTCTGGAAGGACCTGGCCACAGTGGCATGTTGACTTCAGGCACAGCATACCCTTTTTTTATAAAAAAGTGAAATGCTGGGTGTGGGTCAGCGGTTGAGCATTGACCTAGGATCCAGGAGATTGCAGTTCAATTCCCGGTCAGGGCACGCGCCCTGGTTGCAGGCTCGATTTCTAGTTAGGGGCGTGCAGGAGGCAGCCAATCAATGACTCATCATTGATGTTTCTATCTCTCTCCCTCTCCCTTCCTCTCTCTGAAGTCAATAAAAATATATATTTTTAAAATGAATATTGAGGGACCACCACCAGAGCAAAGACAACTAAAGCTCTACCTGGAATCAAACTAGATCTGATCAGTCTTCCTGATCCCTTGGCTTTCCATTGAAAGCATCTTATTCTTTCCCCTCCTGACATTTAACCAGAGGTCTTACAGTCTACATGATCCATTTCTCTTCTAGGTGCTATTATTTCAGGGTCTAAGAGACAGGTAAAAATCGACTTCTCTGACAATAAGAAAATTTTTCACAAGTTGTGCACCTTTCTCACTGAACGAAAGTATCCTCTGGAAAACCCAGGTGTTACTTGAGCATCATTCTGGCTGGATGCTGTGGAATAGCAAAGATCTATGTGACACAGTCCTTGTCCTCGAGGAAATTAACATCTTGGGGAGATAAGTCTCCCGTGGTCCAATTTAACATCCCAGTGTATGGAGTCTTAAAGCTTTTGTACAGATATTCTAGGAAACCATCACAGTTTGGCTTGCTCACCCCCTAGCATCACCAAAAGCACTGTTTTTGCAGTTGGGAAGACCAGTAACAACTGTGGGACAGAGCCACATGCGATGAACCAGGAAATACAAAGAAGTGTTAAGCTATGATGTGTGTTCCCAAGAAGCTTACAACCTGATCTGGAGATGAGAAGTTCTATGAATAGTAAAAGGACACCCAGAAATGTAATAAAATGTGATTGTCTAAGGCTTGGAGGCTGTATTGATGCCATGAGTTAAGGGAATGAGAATCTGGCAGGATTTTAATTTGGGGAATGCCTTCCTGGATCATGAATGGCCTGACGTACAGGGGTCAAGAGAACAGTTTAGCTGGAAGAATGTCAAAGATGTTGGGTTTTCCATACATGAATGAAGAGGCTGAACCAGATCAATGGAAATGGGAATAGGCTACATTGGGCAAGGGGGCTTGACAGCACTTGATGAGGTAGGAGGAGAGAGGTGTCATGGAGATGGCTGGTCTGGGAGACTCAGAAGAGAGGTCAGAAAGAAATGCCAGTTTAGGAGCTGCTCAGAGTAAACAGTGAGAAGGCCAAAAACAAACTTTGGGGAATATTCCCAGTGAGCACGAGTGGCACATAGGGACCTGAACTTCCAGTAATTTTCCAGCCTCTACACTGCTGTTGGCACAGCTGTGGGCATCCCTCCAGCTCCCAGGTGGCCAGGTGAAGTATGGATGGAGGCCATCTTTTTACTGGCACCCTTTAGTGTGACCATCATTGTTGAAACAACTCAAGGAAAGCCCAAGGACACTTGGCCAAGCAAGAAATCCCAAGGTCTGCAAACCAGTACTTCAGGAAGAGCTGGGTTCATTAATAGACGCAGCAAGTGGTTTTTTCTAGCTAAATCCAACTTCATTCTGATTTAACGAGCCTTTGTTAAACCTCTTGTCCATGCCCAGCAAGATGCTAGATCTTAAGGCAATACAAGAGAATTTCAAGACAAACACCTGAGAAAAAATAATCCCAGGAGGCATGATTAAGTCCAAATAAGTGGAGTGAGTGTGGCAGGTCAGCAGGAGAGGAGCAGTTGAAGTGCAAAAGATATGGAGGCTGTAGGGGAAACTGCCTGAGCAAAGGCGCCGTGTCTGGAATGAATATAATGTGTGTAGAGATAGTATGTGAGGCTGAAGTGTGCTGGGTAGCACAAGGTAAATTTAGATAGCATAGGGTTAGATTATTGAAACAACAACAAAAAAGCACTGATGGAATGCCTTCTGTATTCTGGAGCTTTACTACAATCTTACCTTTGGATCCCTGTCACTTAAAGTAGGTGTTTTTAATTCCCATTTTATACAAATCCATGGCTTGTGCATGTCAGAATTAGGAGTCCAGCTTCTATATGTCCAGTAGAAAAGTCCATCCTCTTTATACCACATTGGTTGGAACAGAGATCTGGGCTGTTTGGATTCTGAGCTGTAGGCAACTAGGATGTTGGATGGAGGTATTAGAACAAGGCAGTAACAGATTGGGGTTAAGGTAAATCTGGTGGAAGGAAGTGGAGTCATTCAGATGTTCAGTGGGTCGTTTAGACTTGGGTGCAGTGGGGGGACAAAGGAGCAAACGAAGATTGATAGTATTTTCTCATTGATGGAAGGGTTATTTATTGAGTGCCTACTGTGTGCCTATGTGCAGGTACTATTTTACGCTCTAGAGGGAGCAGTGGGCAAACTAAGCCTTTCAGAAGCTGATGTAACACCTCTAGGAACGGAAGCCATGTGCTATTCTTGTGTTGTGCATGCAGCTTTCATTGCCTAAATCAGAAACCTGGTCTCCTCACAAAAAGGTTGACAATTTAGCATGGCCAACCCTCCCTCCCTCCACTGAGCAGAGGATGTGTGCTTCTTGCTGTGGGGACAATTAATCCTGGGTAGAAGAGCCAGCATCCCAGTGACAGGCAGCAGAGACCTCAGTTTCTGGAAATAACTTGAACAAAGCCTTCTCATGAGATTAAACAAACATGAGGAGGTAAGGAAATGCGGTTAACTGGGGAAAAGTACGACCCCTAGAGAGTAGGTTTTCTTGAATGAGTATGACTTGAATGTATCCTGCAGGGAGAGTGGGAGAGGACTCCCCATTGCCAAAGTGGAGGGGAATCTTTCCTTCTCCCAACTGTTCAGAGGCCATAGCACAGGGAAACTGGTTAAAGGAAGCCCTTGACCCTACCTGGGTAGCTCAGTTGGTTAGAGCGTCATCCTGGATACACCAATGAATGCATAAGTAAGTGGACCAACAAATAGATGTTTCTCTCTTTCTCCCCCTCCCTCTTTCTCTTCATCTCTCTCCTCCTCTCCTCTCTCTACAAAATATAAATAAATAAAGGAAGCACTTTGAACCCTTGGTTGTCACTTACTCTTAAATTCTCAAGAGGAATGAAGGTTATTTCGTTTCCAGTTACAATACTCAACATGGTGCTGCCTCCTGCTGGAAGCGCTCCTCAAAACCAGGGAGGAAGCATACATCTCAGAAAGTTATTCCACGCCATTCGTAGGCGAAGGAAAGTGAAGGGAGCCACACACTCCAGACCTGAGCACACTTCACATTGTCTCAAGATTAGGCAACTGGACCCTCCTTCTCTGAGAGGATTACTGAGGGAGTTTTCCAGATAGGGTGACCAAAGATGTGTTGAAGGCTGCTCCCTGGTTTGGGACAAGCTAGTTAGAACCTGCCTCCTTCCTCCAGCCAAACAGTCATGCTTACGGCCATACTGCCCTCTGACCCTCAACTCACCACTCCCCAGCTGTAACCAGGTGGCTTTGTCCTCCAAGGAACCCCACGTAGCATCAGGGCTCTTCTCAACTCGAGCTTCTGCCACTAGGTTGCATTTAAACCTTTCCCTTGTCACTCCACCCTGTCATGGGAGAAGCAAGACTGCCTTCCAAAAGGACAGTCAGAACTCTGAACTGGTAAAAACTCCTCCCTTGGCCTCTATAGCAGAGGTGGCGAATCTTTTTTCTGCCAAGGGCTATTTGGATATTTATAACATCATTCAAGGGCCATACAAAATTATCAACTTAAAAATTAGCCTGCTGTATTTAGTCAAACATTGAATTAACTCACCCCTAATGCGACGTCTGGAACTGCTTCTCTTTGGTGATGCCTTGGCAGGGCCAGACCAAATGATTTTGTGGACTGGATGTTACCCACCCCTGCGCTATAGGGTAGATTCAGATTTGCATCAGTATAATGGCTCTAAATGTAGTCATTCAGGTAATCCCCCAACTCCTGGATAGTCTCAGCTTCTGAGCCCTTCAAGAACCACCAAGAAGTCCATCCACAGTTGTATTTCCTAGCTCCCAAGCTGAGCCTCTGAACAGGCAAGGTGCATTTACAGTGTACTAGAAAGCTCTGATGTCCTCCACAGTGACACTGACATCCAAATACTCTGTAAGCCTGACAAACTTCACCATGCTCTTACTTCACTGACAAATCATGCTAGTGGTGCTGGTCTGATTTGGGGGGAAAGTAGCATGACTTCACCGCTCCTCTGTAGATGGCATCTAAACCAAATCGGCTCATTTGCACCGCCCAGAGGCCACAGAGATTTTTTTTGGTATAGGCACCTTGTAATGTGTGTCCAACACCTCTACCTAGTCAGCTCCAGTTCTGGGAGATCTCAAACCACAGAGGAGGAACAAGTTAGCACTACTATTCTTTGCTTGGAAATACCACTGGATCTTGAGTCCCTCTGCTAACAAGATGTTCCAGCCAGAACCTTCAGCCACTGCCTCCTCGCTCCCTCTTTGAGACTCCGATTCTTTCTTATGTCAGACTTGACAGCTTCCTTCATGTTCCTCCAGGGTTGAGGATGGGCCATCACAAATAGGACATTATCAGCCCAAGGGAGAGCTGTGGATCCTGACCTGTCAGACATCTGGCCTGCTGTGTGTAGCACTCACATAGGTGCTACACTAATCGTATGTGACCAGGCAGGTATATGGACCCCAGAGTAGGGTGGGAAGTAAAGGGCCCTGGCATTGGGCCTACATTATGAAAACTTAAATATCTGAATGAGTAACTACATTAAAGTTTATGGTTCCATCAGAACCTTCCTTTTGTCAAGGACAGGAGAGAAAGGTCATGACATTGCCTCTTCCCAGGAGTCCGTCTGTCCCTCAATGAGCCAAGCTCACTCTCAGATTTTCCCTATTTCCAGTCTCCTCTGATAACTGCTGTCTTCTTGACCTTTCCCAGATATTTGAGTTTCTTGTGCTACATGGCTTCATTTACACTCTGAGTTCCATCACTACGCCTCACCCCCTGCAACTCCAACAGAACCACCACCTACCACATCCTGGGCAGAACTCGATATGACTAAAGAAAGGAAAATTTTAACCTTACTTCTTTCCTAAGGAACATAGATAATAGACTATTTCTTTTTCCTCCTGCCCTACCTCTCCTTGAGGCAACAAAACATAGTGCAGCTCTGGTTACACATTAGAATCACTGGGAAGCCTTTTTTTTTTTTTAAAGCTGTCAAAACCCAGATCCTTCCTTTATGGAGTCTGATTGCATTGGCAAAGGGGCATTATCGGTTTTTTTGGTAAAGCTCCCTAGGTGATTCTAATATACAGCCAGGGTTGGGCACTGTGTGGGAAGCAGGGGGAGAGGGGGGGCTAGCAAGAAGATTAAAGAGGGAAAAGGAAAGAGAGGAAATCAATCCATTACTATTCAGAGTTATTCTGCTACATTAGCTAATAGCTAAGCGGGGTTAGTTATTGCCAGCTACGCTCAAAGCCTTGTTGAAAGGGCCTACATTAGAAAAGCTAGTGGGGAGGTGAAAGAGAAAAATACTCTACTCCCTGCTACTTAAACCATGATCCTCAGACTAGCATCCTGGGCATCACCCGGTAGCATGTTATAAACGCAGGAATTTCAGGCCCTAGCCCAGACTGTGGGCATCTGCAAAGTAGTGCTCTGACTGTTATTTTGCTAAAGCAGGCTCTGGGAAGAGGGAGGTCTGCAACTGAGTTTTTAAGTCGCAGAACTTTCTGGAAAGCTTCCTTCACCTTTGAGCGAACAGCAAAATATTCACACAAGGAGTGAGTGAGTGTGGCTGCAGGCAGTGATGAAATGAACACAGCTTTGGGTAAGTTTTTGGAGTGAGAAGTAATCAAGCAACAGTTAAAACTCCGCTCACATATGTCTATATTTTCCTTTTTTTTTTTTTTAACCCTCACTGGAGGATATTTTTTCCGTTGCTTTTCAGAGACAGTGGAAGGGAGAGAGAGAGAGACATCGAAGTGAGAGAGACACATGGACTGGTTGCCTCCCGCACATTCCCGGACCCAGGCAGGGATCGAGCCTGCAACCTAGATACTTGCCCTTGGCCGGAATTGAACCTGGGACCCTTCAGTCCATGGGCCGACACTCTAACTACTGAGCAAAACCAGCTAGGGCTATTTTCCTTTTTAATGAAAAGAAAATCCTCGGTTCCTAAGGGTCTGAACCGTCTGTTTCCTGCTGAAAGGATGATAGAAGTAGGTTAGTTCACATCACACCTGTCCTGGGGAAATTACCTTGTGTGGCTTAGTCCATATATGTGTAAAGTTTTTTTAAAAATGTGTTTGCCAAATAAATAAGTAAATAAATAAATAAATAAATAAATAAATAAATAAATAAATAAATAAAATAGTGTTCGCTTTGCCCGGCTCAGCGGTTGAGCATCAACCTAGGATCCAGGAGATTGTGGTTCGATTCCTGGTCAGGGCACATGTCTGGGTTGCAGGCTAGATTCCCAAGTAGGGGGCGTGCAGGAGGCAGCTGATCAACAACTCTCTCATCACTGATGTCTCTATCTCGCTGTCCCTCCCCCTTCCTCTCTCTGAAATCAATAAAGTTATTTAAAAATAAATAAAAATAAAATAAAATGTGTTCGCTTTTTTTCTGGTTATAATCTAATTCATAGAAAAAAACTCAAATACTCCAGAAATATATTATGGAAAGAAGGGGCAGTCTCTGTAATCACCTCCATTCCCTCAGAGATAACCACTGATAAAAGTCCAGTGAGCATAAGTCTAGATCTCTTTTGTGTATACTAACAAATGTACAAAAGTTGAATCACAACATAATGCTGGCCTTTTTTACCCTCCTTTCTCATTCTCAAGTCCAGAAAAATCCATCAGTCAAAATAATCACTTCTTAAATTTACGAACATCCAAAATAATTCAGTCCTATGGGGTGAAACAAGTCATGATACTATTTTGAAACTTGCTTTTTAACATCTGTCGTTCAAGCCAGAAAGAAAAGCATAAAGGAGGCAAAAATGCACTGAGTGTGGAGTGAGGAGCTGATTGCTTCGGAACCTTTCAGAGGAGTATTTTATGAATAAGCATCAGGACTGGTTATGAGTGAAATGATTACCTGCATTTGCCCTCATACAGGTAAGCCAAATGGGATTTGGCCATCTGGGTCCACAATAAAATGTTCTCATTTATAACTGAGGACTACTGAGGCAAATACATCCACATAAAAATTGTGTGAAATAAGGTTTCCGGAGGAGGTAACTTTGACATGGGTCTTGATGTAATGGACATGGATACAAGAAGCAGGGCACAATCCAGATGGGGAAATGCAGGGAAGCAGGCCCAAACCTGGAGGGCTGAGGATGGGGTGGGTATGCTGAGAACAGGGGAGTCCAGCAGGGCTGGGAGGTCATTTGCTGGCCACTCTTGGACACTGAGCTAAGTGAGTTCTCACTGAAAGGCAGTAAGTAGCTTCCTATGGAAAGATGAGACGATGTGGAGGTATTGAAGGATTGGCCAGGATGGGCTAGAGTAGGAAGGCCTAAAACGCGAAGATTCGGTCGTGGCAATCCTGCTGAGGAGATAAAACTACAAGTAGTGGGCTGGTGAGAAGCAGTAGAACCGAGAAGGGAGCATCTGAGATCTTGCTCCCTGGCATATATTCTGAATTTGGTTCAAATAAACTCTTATAAAAATTCAAAAGAAAACTGAGAAGGGAAAAAAGGGCGACATGGTAGAGAAAAGTGAGGAAGAAGACAAAGAACACTTTTTTAAAGACTTTATTTACTTCTCATTTGAGCAGCACGTGCGCTGTTGAACACTTGGAAAATATAGAGAAAGAATAAGAAGCGGTCTTATAAACCCACCACTCAAGAAGAACAGCTGTGAGCATCTGAATACTACAGTTGAGGATGAGAGGAGAATGGGCTCTGTATTTTCACCACAGCCAGGCGAATAATTTACCCTCCAGCTGGCGGCTGTGTCCAGCCAGCTCTCTGGCAAGCTGGGTGAGTTCTCTGCTGGACACACAGAGCTTCTAAGAATGTTCCTCCTGTCTGTCCATGCTAACCGTCCTACCCAGTGCTCTGTTACTGATTTTAATTAACCTCATCTTCAGAAGGTGCCCCCTTTGGTGGATGAATGCCTTGCTTTCCCATCCCAGAAATTAGGTCTGGTTTTTACCGTAGCCTGGCGCACTTTTACCCACAGATAAGTTGGCTGCGGGAAAGAGGAAGGGAATTCTCCTAAAGTCTTGAAACTCGAATATTCTCTTCTCTTCTCTTGCCTCAACCTCTCACCATCCCAGTTCTTGCCTTCTCATGTGGGCTTCTGGACGCTCAAATTCTCCAGTTTTTCCTGTCTCTCTGCTCTCTCGTGCGCCACTGTTAATCATCTGAACTGCTCTCTCTCTTCGTCTTTGATCCTGACCCTTACTTTTACCTGCCTGGCAACACTGAAAACCCAGATGGACGTTTCCATTCATCTTTGCTATTATACTCGCGCAGCTCAGTGCTGCTGCAAGGAAGCATGGAAGGTATTAAATTGGAGCCACCACAGTTGTGCAGCCGGTCCTGGCTCCCTACCTGCCCAGCCTCATTTCCTCCTCTTACAATGCCCAGCGGCTTGCAGCTTCTAGAACACCCAGCGCGCCTGGCCTCTGCCTCCTGGACGCTCCATCCGCAGCCCTCCCCGGCCCCCGCGTAGCTGAGGCTCCGGATTCAGTCTAGGCTCCCATTTCTAGAGGCCACTTGGAAACTACGCACGGTGGCAGATCATCAGGGCAGTACAACAAACTACTTCTGGGGCGGGGCAGTCAGTGACGGTCTTTCTTGGAAGAGTCTTCCCACAGGTAAAGGTGAGGAACGTTTGCAATGCACACCACAGCGTTCAAGTCTGCAGGCAGCCAGTGCTCCCAAGGCGCCTCATCGACACGCTGATTTCCAGTCTCGGCCACGAAAATGCGCAGCATTCGCCCCTGCAGCGGAGTAAATGCTAACTAGAGGAAATCCACTGATACTCGAGCCTCAGCGCCTCCATCTAGCTTTGCCTGCCGCCAGCCAAGCCCCGACGCCCCGCCCACTTCTGCCCGCCCACCGGCCCTTAAAGTGGGCGAGGAGTGCGCATTACTCAGGCGGGCGGCGGACCCACCAAAGGCCTTTACTATTTGAAGATTTCAGAGGCAGTCGGCAACTCGCGCGAGACGGATATAGTATCCTCGCGAGAAGTCTAGGAGGCGGCCGTGATGGCGGCGGCGGGAACGGGACCCGGACCCGGACCGGGAGTGGGTGCAGGACCTGGCCCAGCAGCGGCCGCAAATGCAACAGCGAACGAGGAAGGGGAGATGAAACCGGTGGTAGCGGTAGCAGCCGCCCCAGCTGGAGAGGGGACATCTGCTGCTCCAGCAGCGGAGCCCGGTTCCGGAGAGGCCGAAAGCGGGTAAAACGTCCTGCAGTCACAGGAGGACTCGGGGAGGCGGGGGAGGGAGGCCCGCCCCTCCTGGAATTCCGCGGCTCC